ACTGCAATGGATTTGTACTTTAAAATTGGTTATGTCTTCTTATTCAGTGATTAAAGTCCCCCAAATTCCTTTGCAGCTGTTTGTGCCCATGGTCCTTTGGCTCAATGGTGTATTTGCAAAGATGGCCGAATGCCATCATCAAGGTTTCATACAAGGGAAACTTCTTCGTATTCCCTAAGGGTTGAAGAAATAAGTCTACTAAATAACAGGAAAAATATGTCTAAATTTCTTATGCATGTGGGTACATCACATGAAATAAAAGTGTATGTTCTGAAACCCAGACAAATCTTACATGCCCTGGAGATGCTTATATATCCTCGGTAGAGGGGGCAGAGAAGGAGTGTAGGTTATTTAGGGGAGAGTGTTATAACTCAAAAATGAGGCAGGCTTGAAAAGAAAAGAAGTGCTTTATTTTAGCTGGTACCCAGCGGCAGACACCCCGGCAAGATACTGAAGTGCGTGCCGGGAGGATGAGCAAAGTGGGTATTTAAGGCAATAAACCACAAAAGCTGACGTCAAGGGTTCATCTAGGGACTACAGTTGAAAAATTACCTGTTTTTAATGAACATTAACAGGTGCAGTGGTGGGTACAGTTTGTAGCTGGGAACGAGGGCAAGAACAGGGCATTGGGCTGGAACTAGATTCAGGTGTGCACAAAGGACAGCGTGAGAAAGGCCCAACTGCAGGTTCTCAAGTAGAGAACAGGGCACAATGGAAAATTACAGCATTTAGAATGGTGCATACAGAACAAGATGGTGGGGCACGTGTCAGGTTACAACAGTTAATAAAGTTACAGTGGAAGCATACAGGGTTACAAAGTTAGAATCAATTGTACAGGTTATAACATTCCCCACTGGTTTTTGTGCCCGAGTCAAATCACTGACTGGTCAGGGTTATAGCTTAGCTTGTATGTATTCAGTTAAACAGTTTATTAAACAAGGCCCAATGAGTAGGACTAGAAGGAATATAATCATAGGTCTAATTAAAGTAGTTTTTACATTATTTATAGTAGCTCAGTTGTTTAATATGGCCCCTCAATGAGTTTTCTCTGCTCCGCATTGAGCAGGGCTATAGCTGTTGAAGTGGCATTAAGAGCCTTTGTCACATTGTAACCTAGTTGTCTTACAAGTATATCTGTCACTTTTTAAAAGGATAGGTTTTAACAATACTAAATATCATAGCATATGTTTAAATCTCTCAAGTTCTATATACTTGTGGCCCTTTGAGGCGATGTTATATCAAATTATTTTGACATGGGTCACACCACTGCTAATTTATCCCAACAGCAAGGAACATTAGTTAACAACAGAGTCTGAGTAGGTGGTTTTTTTAGAACTCTAGATGGGAGAACAGACAGTATTTTTATGTCCCCACTGGTTTTTGTGTCACCTCTTGGGCTATAACATCAGCCAGGGAGTTTCATCTTTTGTCTTGAGGTGTGGCCTACAGTGGGGAGCATCTGCCTCTCTCAAACTGTGGTCACCTTGTCTTTTAATTTTGTCTCCTTGAGGGCTCAGCCCTATCCGACTGCCCACAATACCCCCATCTAACTTGGCTGCTCACAACATTTTTCCTCTGAAGAAGTAACCCGAACTGCTGTGACGGTATTGTGGGCAATGATCATTCTGGCTTTTTTAAGCTGAAAAAGGGTCATAGTTGTTGTCCGGCAGTCAGAGATACTCTCCAGAGGTTTTACCCAAAGGCCCTCAGTAGACACTAAGTAATTTTTTTTTTGGTAGGTGAAATAGCTTTAAATCTGGAGAAGGCAGAGCCAAAGAAACAAACAAATAATAACATCAACAGGATGCAGTAATCACTTAGCAGATCTGGAATGTAATACCCTTTTGAAGTTTGTAATTATAAAAATACCAGTCAGAACATTTGTGGATCTATTAGCAGGGATCTCTTTATTTTTTTATGGCCACTAGGTATTGTCTCATACTGGCCTATTCTTGTGCTTTATCAACTTTTACATGAATTGTCAGACCTAGGGAAAGCACTGAGTACTCTCCAGTTTGCAAGTGGAAAGTTTTACAGGCCCTTTTTATATTGGCAGTTCACATGGGTTCCCTCAGGGTGAGAGGGAAGACACATGACCACCTCAATTTGATTTTATTATAAACACTTTTTTTTTTTTTTAGCAGCTTGTGTCAAATATCTGGGGTCCACTGAATAAGGTACAACTTTTGGGTTTTAAGGCCTCCTGTAGGTAGCCCTGTTTAAAGAATGTGAGGGTAACTTTCCCTGTAGTGGGCTTTTCTGACATAGGATTGGGCTGACAGAGATAACATCTTTGAGAGCAATCAGCCCTGCCCAAGGAACGTGATGATAGCTTCCTTTATAATGAGGCAGGAAACCCAGAGAAGACTCAGCTCACCTGGGCTGTAGGAGATGGACAGTTAAGGCCTTATCAAGTCTCTATAGACAAAATCTGTATGATTACCTGGATTTTGGTATCCTTTAAGAAAGAACAAATTTTCTGAAAATTACAGCATGTATAATCAGAGCACAAGCATTTGAGCTAACAGATAAATGTATAAATTGTGAGGCTAGTGATCATAACCCACTTGTTTTTAGAGCCCTTTACTTTTGGAGTCTGACAGTTTGCTAAAAGTCCCTCCAGCTATACTTATAATTATCTCTAAATTTTGAGAACATATGAAAACCAGATTAATACCTTATTTTCACTGTCAATGTTTTTAAGTAATTTAAGTACAGTTTGGCATGTTTTTCTAGTTACACCTGTGTTTACTATCAGCATGAAATACCTGAGTTACATCAAAAATCAACCAGGCTAACTTAATACACTTATCATGAAATACACAGTATTCAGTCAGATTAAACCAATGTCCCATTGAGTTTTGGATATGGCCCCTATTGTAATCAAGGGGCATTATAGAGGGATTTATCCTTTTAACACTGACTCTGAGGTTTATGTTTTAAAGACAAAGACTGGCTCTATCTATAGGCCCAAAGCTATTGGACACTGTGTAGCCAGTGTCTCTAGAATTTTTACAATGACAGGATGTTTCTGTCTGTGGGAACCTGTTTTAACTAGTGAAATACCTTTTTAAGTCTTACACATGAATAACAGTATATTACATTTGTAAAAACTAGCCTTAGCATCCTCTTGATTAATAAGCAACCTCAAAATATATTGTAGCATCTCATTTACAGCTGAAGCAATATATCTTCTAAAGTTTATTTCTATTGAGGTAGGATGACTGGAAGGAGAATCAGGGTTAGAGAAAGACAAAAAGACCTGTGCCAATATCCAGCAATGGGCTGGGTTTTTTTGTAGTCAGGATTACTCAGGGCTCCTCCATGGAGATGACAGGTAGAGATGAGAGTGTGGCCAGAGGGAGGAGGCAGACCCAGTGCCCTTTGATCCTATAGGACCACTGGGGAAGCTGAGTTTGAGTCCTGGGGCCTCCGCCTCAGAGTGCAGTCTCACTTTTAGTGGCTACCTTGGCAGTGAAGACGTGGCTTGTGGGCCTCTTAAAGCAGTCCCTCCTACAATAGCCTGGCTTCTGACAGCAGTAGTAGATGAACCTCATTGTGGTTGAGCTCCTTTTGGAGCGCAGAGAATCAGATTTAGGGTCTGTTTTGAGGCTGAAACAAAGGCAGTCGTTTTTGGTCTCTTTGTTTTTTCTCCTTGGTTCTCTCCCAGTTTCTATCATAGGACATTGTTTCTTAGTGTCCCATAAAGTATCAAGTGAGTTGTCTGGAGCAAAAGCTATCTTTTGTAGTTTTTTAATATCTGAAGTTGACTGAGTAATGAACTTATCTGCAAGAGTAATCTGTCCTCCTACTGAATTAGCATCTCAAGGAGTATGTTTTACCAGTTTTTTATCAAACATTTTAAGAAATCAGAGGGGTGTTTATCTTTGTCCTGGTAAGTAGCTGAAATTTAATAACTGAAGACTTGGTCTTAGTTTTTTTAGACCTCCAAGAATACATACTAGAAAATATATGTTATTACAATCTTCTGTGTGGCTATTAGGCCAGCAGGGGTCTGGCTGCTTCGACTCCAGTGGGAGCAGGTAGTTCCTGTTACAGCTAAACCAAGATAGACCGGCTGTCTATCTTCTCATTGTTTAAAATTAACAATATGATGCTTATTTTTAAAAGCAACATCAGCTTATAATGTTGCCTTTTTTTAAAATAGAAGTCAAAGCTTTGTTTAAGATTAAAATTACATCTTTTAAATCTAATTTATAAGTCTGAATAAATCTTTTAAAGACATCAATGTACTTATCAGGGTCATCTAAAGACTTAAGATCTGACGTTATCTGTTTTAGGTCACAGAGAAAAAGGCACATAAACTCTGGAAGTTTTAAACTTAGATTGTTTTTTACTTTTAAAAAATATCCCTCCATAAACTCAGCTAAGGCGGGTATAGCCTTGTAAGGGCTTGGATTACAGCTATTTTAGAAGCCCACCCTTTTGAAATACAAGTAGGGGAAACCTTATTTTCAGTAATGGTGGGTGAGGCTATGATTATGGCTATTTTGTCCTTAGGCTCCCAAGGTCAGGAAGCAGCAGCCTTAGGCATCCGAGTTGCCAGGTTCTCTTGTAGCCCACACCTACATTTTAATACTAGGATGACTTTTTAAGGCAAACAAAATCAGAATATAAGACTACTAGTCTGGTGACAGGAGTCTTAAGAAGGAAACATAACCATTACATAAAAAGTTCAATTTATATAATCACTTGGGTAAATTTTTTTAGCAACTAAACAAGATTTAACCTTGAAGCTCACAGATGAAACTTATCATCTAGCATCATATTTTACATATTGGTAAGAACACAATACAGCTGGTAAACATCTTATTTTCAGTTAACATGTAAAGCAGATGTAAGCTTTTCTTGATAACCACTATTGCAAGCTGTCTCAGCCTTGTTTCTGAAAGAGCGACTCATTAACTTGTTTTACTGAAAAGCTCAGGTAAAATTACTAGTTTACTAGCAGAGAGAAAAAGTAAAATAGGTAAGTGGAGAGCTTTAGTGGTCAGAGGCCAGTTTCCACCAAGGAACCTTTGGGTATGGCCCCTTAGCCCCTTAGGTATTCTCGGTTTCTTTTGGCTCACACAACCAGAAATGTCTCCAGAAAGGAATCCAGCAGTTTCCCTGGTCAACATTCCATCAGCCATAGGCTTCAATGGGGATTTACCAAAGAACAGCTGGGGAAACCTGTCCTCTGCTTCAAAGAGTGGCAGTTGCTCTAAAAGCATTTACTAGCTGGCAGAGTAACCACTGTTTGTCCAAGTTCTATAAGGGATAGCTAAAAGCCTGAACAAGATTACCTAAGCATCTTATAGTAAATGTTTTATAAAATTTATAATTTATTTTTTTACCCATTTAAATGATAGCTAAACTTAGGAGGAAAGGTCTGGCGTGAACAAACACTCATTTTTAAGGTCTTTACCTAGCTGGGTCAGAGTTTTCCAAATTTTACATGCCTCTAAAAAGGAAAGTGCAAAGAGGTAGGAAAATTAGGAGTAAAATCAAAGCAAGGAAACTGAAACAGAGCAGGCCTGACATTCCCTCTAGCATGTAGAGGGGGATCAGAACCAGTTCATCTCAGTGAAACCTGTCCTCCAAGTCTTTAAGAACGGTTGCTGACCTAATGTCATTTAACTGGCAAAAGGAGTTCCGTTTTTTATATATAGTCATGTAGGTTTTCTAAGTCCAAGCTGGCTAAAAGTCCCATTTACAGAAGTTTACATAAAATCCACTAGGAAGCTTATTAACCTTACCCTCTCTAGTGCTATTGTCTATAATCAGGCAAGGAATACTAGTACATTTAGCAACTAGTTCTAATGGAACATATACAAATACAAAAATAGTCATAAAATGTCTCATTAAAGAAATACGATAACCTTATAACATTTTCATGTTTTAGCTTAGATTTACCAACACATTTTGACCAACATCTTAACTGCATAATGAATTTATCTGTGTACCAGCTGGCAGGTGGAACAAGCAGGTTCTGACGGTGATGGTCGGGGGTCACAGCCACTTGTTATCAGTTGGAACTGCCAGTGTGACCAGGTGGAATTGGCCAGTTGTCCAGGAACAGTGTCTGGAACAGCAAGCTTTGAGTCATTTCAGGGGGTCATGGACAAGATCCATCCAAGCCTCAGTGTAAGGGACCTGGTTAGGGTGTCCCAGATTTCTGAAGGCGGGTCCGGGAAAGGGGGGTGGTCAGCAATGGATGGTGGAGGATGTCAGCTCCGAGTCCTTCGGGGAGGCTACGAGGGGGATCACAGAGGGTGATAGGGAGATGGATGGGGGAGGATAAGGGATTTCTTTGGAGGAGCTAAAGGGGCCAAGGGAGGGGCCATAGGGTGGTCCACGGCCTTGATAACTTTCTTGATCCAGGTGTTTAGATCCTGGATGAGGTCAATCCAGACTTATGTGTAGATGATGTGATCTGGATGGACAGGTGGGTCAAAAATGACTCACAGTGAGCAGGGCAATGGCTGTTGAAGTGGCATTAAGAGCCTTTGTCACATTGTAACCTAGTTGTCTCACATGTATACTTGTCACTTTTCCAAAGAGGTTTTAACAATATTAAATATCATAGCATATGTTTAAATCTCTCAAGTTTTATATACTCGTGGCCCTTTGAGGCGATGTTATATCAAATTATTTTGACATGGGTCACTACCGCTAATTTACTCCAACAGCAAGGAGCATTAGTTAACATCAGAGTCTGAGTAGATGGTTTTTTAGAACTCTAGAACAGGCAATTTCTCCCATGTCCCCACTGGTTTTTATGCTACCTCTTGAGCTGTAATGTCAGCCAGGGAGTTTTCTCTTTTGTCTTGAGGTCTGGCCCACAGTGGGGAGCATCCATCTCTCTCAAATTATAAAGTCACCTTGTCTTTAATTCTGTCTCCTTCAGGGCCTAGCCCTGTCTGACTGCCTATAATATTTTTAATCTAACTTGACTGCCTGCAACATTCCCCCTTCTTGTTTTTTTTGGTGGAACTGGGGATTGAATTCAGGCCCTTGCACTTGCCAGGGAAGCACTTATTCCACTGAGCCATCTCCCTGGCCCCAACATTCCCCCTTCTGAAGAAATAACTTGAACTGCTGTGAAGGGATTTTGGGTGATGACCGCTCTGGCTTCTTCAGGCTGAAAAAGGGTCATAGTTGTTGCTTGGCAGTCAGAGATACTCTCCAGAGGTTCTATCTAAAGGTCCTCAGTAGGCACCAAGTAATTTTATCTTGGGTAGGTGGAATAGCTTTTAAATCTGGAGGATGCAAAGTCAAAGAAAGAAACAAATAATAACATCAACAGGATACAGTAATCATGTAGCAGATCTGGAATGCAATAACCCTTAGAAGTTTGTAATTACAAAAACACTGGTCTGAACATTTTGTAGGTCTATTAGCAGATATCTCTTAAATGTGAGGTTTAATTTTTCATGGCTATTGGATATTGTCTCAAACTGGCCTACTCTTATTTTTCATCAACTCTGTTATTACTGGGGGTACATGAATTGTCAGACCTAGGGAAAGTACTGAGTACTCTGCAGTTCGCAAGTGGAGCTGCTGTCTGGGTAACTACTGACGAATCTGCATAAGCTTTTATTAAATGTTTAACAGGCTTTTTTCTTATATTGGCAGTTAACATGGGTTCCCTCAGGCTGAGAGGGAAGACACACGACCAGCTCAATCTGAAACTTCCTCTGACTCCATCATAAACACTTTTTTCCCTTCTTTATCAGCTTTGGATATTTCTGCTTGAAATGTCCCTACTGTCTGGATCCAGAGAAACATAACCTTTTCCTGTTTCCTGACTGACCCTTTTTCCTGTAGGCTGCTAGTATCCCCATTTTTATTTTTTGTCTATAATTTCATTCTGTATCCTTTTTAGAAACACCTCAACTCAGACACATTTATTCCTGTAAACTCTTTTAACTTCAGCTTGTGTCAGATATCTGGGGTCCACTGAGTAAGGTACAATTTTTGGTTTTTAAGGCCTCCTGCAGGTAGCCCTGCCCAAGGAACATGAAGATAGCTTTCCTCATAATGAGGCAGGAAACCCAGAGAAAGCTCAGATCACCTGGGCTCTATCAGGTGGACAGTTAGTTTAGGTTTAATATGTGTCTCTATAGACAAAATCTGGTGGATCCCAGTGAAAGGAATCTTAATCTAGCATATTTGTTAACAGATTTTACCTGCATGATTACCTGCGTTTTGGTATCTTGTAGGACAGAACAAATATTCTGACAAATTACAGCATGTATAATCAAAGCACAAGCATTTGAGCTAACAGATAAATGTATAAACTTTTGAGGCTAGCAATCATAACCCACTTGTTTTTAGACCCCCTTTACTTTTGGAGTCTGACAGTTTGCTATAAGTCCCTCTGGCTATACTTATAACTATCTCTAAATTTTGAGAACATATAAAAACCAGATTAATACCTTATTGTTACTGTCAATGCTTTTAAGTAATTTAAGTATAGTTTGGCATGTTTTTCTAGTTACACCTGTATTTACTATCAGTTACATCAAAAATCAACCAGGCTAACTAAATATCATGAAAGACACAATATTCAGTCAGATCAAACCAGCGTCCCATTTAATTTTGGATATGAACCCCTATTGTAAGCAAGGGGCACTATAGAGGGATTTATCCTTTTAACACTGGCTCTGAGTTTTATGTTCTAAAGACAAGGCCTGGCTCTATCTATAGGCCCAAAGCTATTGGACACTGTGTAGCCAGTGTCTCTAGAATTTTTGCACTGACAGGATGTTATCTGTCCTTGGGAACCTGTTTTAACTAGTGAAATACCTTTTTAAGTCTTACACATGAATAATAATATATCACTTTTGTAAAAGCTAGTCTTAGCATCATCTTGATTAGTAAGCAACCTCAACATATATTGTAGTATCTTTTTTACGGTTGAAGCAATATATCTTCTAAAGTTTGTTTCTGTTGAGGTACGATGACTAGAAGGAAAATCAGGGCTGTAGAAAGACAAAGAGACCTGTGCCAATATCCAGCAATGGGCTGGTTTTTTTTTTTTTTCCTGTAGTTGTGATTACTCAGGGCTCCTCTGTGGAGATGATGCTTGGGCTCCAGTGGGAGCAGGTAGTTTCTGTTACAGCTAAACCAAGATAGACTGGCTGTCTATACTCTGGTTGTTTAAAATTAACAGTATGACATTTATCTCCAAATGCAACATCAGCTTATAATGCTGCCTGCCTTTTCATAGAAGTCAAAGCTTGGTTTAAGATTAACATTATACCTTTTTAATCTAATTTATGTCTGAATAAATCCTCTGAAGACATCAATGTACTTATCAGGGTCATCTAAAGACTTTCAAGATCTGACATTATCTGTTTTAGGCCACAGAGTAAAGGCACATAAACCCTGGAAGTTCTACACTCAAACTGTCTTTTAATTTTTTTTTTTTAAAGATATTATCCCTGCATAAACTCAGCTAAGGATGGGTGTAGTTTTGTAGGGGCTTGGTTTAGAAGCCCACCCTTTTGAAAGGCAAATAGAGGAAAACCTTACTTTTAGTAATGGTGGGCGAGGCTGTGATTAAGGCTATCTTATCCTTAGGCTTCCAAGGTCAGGGAGTAGCAACCTTAGGCATTTGAACTGCCTGGTTCTCCTGTAGCCCACACCTGTATTTTAATACTAGAATGACTTTCTTAAGGCAAACAAAATCTGAACATAAGACTGTTAGTCTGGTGACAGGAGTCTTAAGAAGGAAGCACAACCATTGCACAAAAAGGTTAATTTATCTAATCACCTAGGCAAATATTTTTAGGAATTAAGATTTAACCTTGAAGCTCACAGGTGAAACTTATTATCATTTAGCATCACATTTTACATATTGGTAAAAACACAATATTTTTTGTGGCAAACATCTTATTCTTAGCTCACAGGTAAAGCAGATGTAAGATTCCCCTGATAACCACTATTGCAAGCTGTGTCAGCCTTATTTCTGAAAGAGTGAATCATTAACTTGTTTTACTGAAAAGCTCAGGTAGAATTCCTAGTTTACTAGCAGAGAGAAAAAGTACAATAGGTAAGTGGAGAGCTTTCAGTGGTCAGGAGTCAGTTTCCACTAAGGAAAGGAGGATCATTCTGTGTCTGAACTGCACAGCGAGGCCCTGTATCAAATACATAAATACATTTTTTTTTTTTAAAAGAAAGACTCACAGACTGATTTAACATCCCCAAATTCTATGGCATCTGCAAACTTTTAATGAAATGATTTTGAACCCATAGCAGGAAACAAGGGAAAGGGAATTTGGCAAGTTAATTTATTTCAGATAAACTGGAAGAGGGTCACAAGGCCTAAATCCTTGGTTAGGCCTATCATATGTACAATCTCCCCTCCTCCCCCTACACATCTTTCTTCGTGAGAGGGTGGTATTTTTTCTTTTTGTTTTTTAGAGACAGGGTTTCACTGTGCAGTTTAGGCTGGCCTTGAACTCCAAGTCATCCTCTTGACTCTGTCTCTTGAGTGCTGGGATCATAGGTGTGCATCCCCCCCCCCCCAAGAGCTGGTTTTTATAGCTAGAGTTGATAGCAAAAGGGCTTAAGAAAGGGACTTTATCTGGAACTAACACACGTCTGACCTGTTGAAGGGATGCAGGGAGAAATATAAGCCACAGATAGAAACTCAGCAGTTACAGGCAGAGTTATCAGAAATGCAAGCATTACAATTTTTCTGTTGACAATATATATACTCCTCATAAGGACATCACCAAAGATAAATACATTCTGAGGGGAGAGATAGGCAGGGAGGGGAGGTCTAGATACACTGCCTAGGCTTGCCTCAAAAGAGATCCTTCTGTCTCAGTGTCAGTTGAAGACCTCAGAGGGGTTGATCGCTGCGTGAATGCTCACGCAGACCTGGCACTCTATGTCTCCTGTCCTGTCTCTTGGTAGGACAAGCTCTTTCTGATGTTCTCTTAAGAATCTCACAGGCTACCAATCTATGACTCCTAAATACAATCTTTAATTTTTGTTTGCACTGTAACTTGTTTACTTACCTAAGCCTTCTAAGTGTCCTGGTTTATTTGAATTACCTACAAAATCCTTACACGTTTCACCCATGCCACTCCTTGTTGTGTTCAGCTTTCCTAACACAATTGAATAGCAGAATATTTCTGCGAAAAATTAAAGCAACGAGGCAGATGTGCATCGTACTTAGCAATGGAATTTCCTCAGGCTGTTGGAGTCCAAATCCAGGACTGAGTTACATAGTAGCTCTGTCCTATAGGACAGGGAAATACTTTTATAATTATTTGAGTAGTGATTCTTTTATACTGAGTGTCACTTCCAGGGATCACTGATACTCATATGGGTTCACGTTAAGAAAAACCCCTTCATGTTAGTAAAAAATTAAGGACAAAATTAACTATCATTATTGTTTTTTTTTTTTTTTATATGTTACTGAACTAGGATTTTTTTGAAATTCTTATTTCCAGCCAATGATGAGACAGGGACAGAGGCATATGAATGTTTCTTCCTTTGTACATTATTAAGTGGCTGAATACCCCAGCCTTAGATGATGCTGAAAGCCCGTCTGAACATGCAGACTGTGATGCAAAAATAGATTTCACTATTCACACAGGAATTACTGATTACTTCATTTCCAAATCATGTTTTTGCACCCTTCAGACCACCCTATCCTTCTGTATTCCATACATATCTCTAAATCCCATCCTTGGAGTCGAGTAGGTGGATTTGAACCTGAGCTCTCATACCATCAGGTTTGATTCCTTTGGAAAGAGACTTTTTCTTTTTGCAAAACTCCTATCATTGATTGGCTACATATTGCACTGTGAGCAGAACCGCCCAGCTCAGGTAATAGGCTAGTTTCTATGATTGCCGCCAAGAGGCCTGGTCTATCCACTCAGCTCTTCATCGGGGGAGGGAGGAGTCTTAGGCTTATCTCACAACTAGAACTTTAGAATATTTTCCATTCACTTCCCTTGCTGCCCCTCCAACCCAGAAGTGGAATACCCCTGATGGCCCACAGTTTTGGATGGTCACTGAAGGGCGCTAGCTGGAAGCATAGTAGCCTGCTATGTCCCTTAATCACTATGGCTTGAAAATCCACAGCAGCTTCATTCTGTGTCCCCATAAGACTATCGGTCTGTTCAAGATAACTGTCTTAGACTCACAGCTGGCTGCAAGGATAAATTACGAACAGTACCTAAGATTAAAAAGATATGCTTCTCCCAGACTGTTTACTGGGCTGCTCTGTTTTCTTCCTTACAATCATATCTAGCGTTTCTCAGAGATGCCCACAACTTTATACTTCTGTTTCTTGGAGAGGAAAGGTTTGATTTACTATGACAGATTTATTTACCTTCTTATAGCATCTTTCCAGTCCCATATTTCTAGCAAATAACCCATTCTCATTACATTATGTACCACTTTCCAATGAATACTTTTGTTTTTGCTTTTTGTTTCTAAGACAGAGTCTTGCTGTATAGTTTAGGCTGCCCTGAACTAATTATAGAGCACATGCTGGATTCAAACTTGTGGCAGTCCTCTTGCCTCAGCCTCCCCAGTGCTGGGTTTGCACCACACCTAGCTTCAGCAGATATTTTTCTAAGACTCCTGTAAAGTCATTACACCATTAAAGATGATTTATATAATTTCAGAACTTTAATTTTCCATTTCAAGAACTAAATGAAAATCCATACATTGAGTTACTTTACAACTCAGGACAGCTATGCCAACTCAAAGTGATTGTTTGGGAAGGTTGTTGTAGGACTGCCAAAACAGACATGAGTATTTTATTTTATTTTTTTTTTAGACATGAGTATTTTAAATCCAATGTAACACTTATTTTTTGATGAACTCTTAATGGTAAGGTAGCTCCTTAATGCAGGAAGTGGATCCTTACATAAAAAAAAAATATATTAGTACATGATTGCAATATGTAATGGTTACATCTATTGTGGGGAATCGGTGTCTTTAATACATCTCAATTCTTTTTCTTTCCTCCTCTATCAGATTATCTTATAGATCCTAATAAAGTTAATCATAATATATGCAGACTAACAGCCACATTAATAGGCCAAAATCCATATAAAACACAAAACACCATTGTATTACGAGAAAGAACATTTTAGGTATGCTGTGCATGCTGGATTACAGTACCTTCTGTCTGTTTTCCTCTGATTTGTGTTATTTTTCCACTTTATATATATTTTGAGTTTCTCATATAAAAGAAATATTAAACTTATGTATATTTTCAGTTTCTCATATAAAAGAAATGATATTAAAATTAAGTTTTGTGTCTAACATTTGCTTCACTTAATATTTTGCTTTCTTTCTTTTTTTTTCCCTGTATTTTAGGGAGAGGTCTACAGGGTGTTCAGGGTCTCACTATTAGATCAGATTCGTAGTGATTCCCTGTTTACAGCCTCCCAAGTGTTGGAATTACAGGGGCTATACCATGCCCAGTCTCAACTGCTGTCTCAGCTGGCCCGGGGGATTGGGGCGCGTACAGGTCTGGGGATCCAACCCTGGCCCCTGCAACTGCTTGCAGGTGCTTTAATCCACTGAGCTATTTGACTGCCCTCCCCCTTTTAAAAAAAATATTATGCTTTCAATGATCATCCATTTTCCTACAAATGACACCTTTATCCTTCTTTATGGCAGAATAGTACTCCATGATGCTTCAACACATTTTCTTCGTGCATTCATTCGTTAATGGACATTTAGGCTGCTTCCTAGGTTTACGTGTTATAAACTGTGTTGCTGTTTAAATACGGTTATGGCAAACATCACTGCGGCATTAGCATTATCATTATTTTTGTTAACTTTTCTGGGATAATACCCAGAAGAGGAATAGCTGAGTCAAATGGAATTCCTAGTTTCAGGTTTTGGGGAATCTTCATACTGATTTTCATAGTGGTTATACCAACTTAGATTCCCACCAAGAGTGTGGAAGGGTTCCTTCTCCCAGATCGGCAGCCTCTCCAGCACTTGTTACCTGTTGGTTCTTGATAGACACTCTTTCTGGAGTGAAATGGAATCTCAGTGTTGTTTATTTGTGTTAGTGGAGTGGCCAGCGATCTTGAACATATTTTCATGTATTTATTAGCCTTTTCTAGTTCTTCACATGCCCAGTTTTGGGTTGGATCTTTAAATTTGGCCGGGATGGGGGTGAGGCTGCTTGTTTTGAGTTCTTTATATATTCTAGTTATCAGGGGTGAGTCTGAGGAGTAGCTGGCAAAAGTTTTTCCAGTTCTGCAGATGGTTTTCTTTGCTATGAAGGCTTAATGTGTGATCCTCTCCCTGGTCCTCAGTATTTTGTGTTCTGGGTATAAAATGAATGCAGTGAAGTCATACAGGCCAGTCAAAAGCATACCTAGAGCTTTCTCAACCTCATTCCTTCAAATGAGAAGGCAAGCTGCGAAGGCATCTGCTTCGAGTGGGAGTTTGGAAAGCATTTTACGATCCTAAGTTTTTTCTGGGCTTTAGGGAACTACGGTGGTTATGATGCTGCTTATTGACAAGTCTCTTTGGGGATGCTTTGCAACGTCAGTGGTCTTGCTCTCACCTAAGAACCTAAATCAGGTTTCAGCTCAAGGCTTTTGAAAAACATTCCCTTCTGCTACTGAGAGGTTATAACGCCCAGGAATGTCAAGTACTGCGGAGCAATAGGAGAGCCAGGGACTGTACAAGGGTATGTGCACAATGTAAACTTTTAAGTGGGTTGAGCTGTGTAGATCACACCAGACCTACGTATGTTTAATAATTGAGAAAACATTTTCAAACAGCTGTTGAGCAGGTAAGGCAGTGTTCTCCTGCAATGCCAACACTTGGGAAGCTGAGGCAGGAGAACCTCTGGGTGGGAGTTTGAAACGAGCCTGGGCTACAAAGTGAGCGAAGGCCAGCCTGCATGGCATAATGACACCTGGCTCAAAAACACAAAAACAAAAAAATAAAAAAGACTTTTCTCAAGGCTGGTTATTTTTTTCATCTAGTTAACTAAAAACCACAGCAACAATTAGTATTAAAGCTCTTGAGATTTGTGGGTGACTCTGAAAACAGCCTTTGCATTGTAGACAGCAGCCTGATGCGCTCTTAGAGCTGGTGTACTTGGTAACAGCCTTGGTGCCCTCAGACACAGCGTGCTTGGCCAGCTCCCCGGGCAGCATCAGCCACACAACCGACTGGATCTCCCAAGAGGTGATGGTGGATCGCTTGTTGTAGTGCGCCAGGTGCGACGCCTTGCCCGCGATGCGCTCGAAGATGTCATTGACGAACGAGTTCATGATGCCCATGGCCTTGGACGAGATGCCCGTGTCAGGGTGCACCTGCTTCAGCACCTTGTACACATAAATGGAATAGCTCTCCTTGCGACTGCGCTTGCGCTTCTTGCCATCTTTCTTCTGCGCCTTGGTCACCGCCTTCTTGGAGCCCTTCTTGGGGGCCTGAGCAGATTTTGCTGGCTCTGGCATGATTCTACACAAGAGAAAGAAAATGGAAATGAAGAAAATGACCTAGGCCTGACATTGTAGGGTTCTTATGCAAATAAGGTGAAAAGTTCTTGCAACCCTGATTGCACCATATTAGTCAATGGAAGGTTGTCATGCAAATATTAATTTCAACCCTCTTGTTAATTGGCCATTTATGTGGACTACCCTTACTCTTTTTGTAAAGCATTAGGAAAAAAAAAGTTACTTTTTTTGTTTTAAAAGTATTATGTTCACCTTTGTATGCACTATCTCCATAGAACCTTATATCACGGGAAAAAGAGTAATATAATTTATGACTCTCTTTATGGCAAGTGAGTTTTTTTCTTGTAAAATACCTGTTAACTTTTACAAACAAAAACTAGAAGTTAATTTTCCCCAAAATTATTTATACCATCGGCAAAATTCGTAATTAGTTTGATCAATGTAGGCACTATCCTTAAAGCTTTTTAAAAGAATTATGGAGTTAGGACATCTTAACACCTGTTAGACTTTTATGTTGCATATTAAAAAGTACCCGGAAGTGATACCAATGATTGTTGGAAAGAGTTAAAAAAAATTCTCCTACTATAGTTGGGAAAGACAACTTTCTAGTTATATTGTAGTGAAAATAGAAATATATTGCTAAGCTGGAAAAATGAGTCAAACGTACTTTCAGAAACTTCCCAGATACTGCGGAACGGTCATTTCCGCGCTTTCCTATTGACTTTTAAATATGTGGTTTGAGACACAGACAGTTGTACAATTATATAAGAAAGACCGTAATTGGAAGACAGGATATACACAAGAACGTTGTGATAGGTCGGCATTTTTAAATTGAAACTTGTTAGCCAATCGCAATTCTGATGGTGTTCTTTAACTCACTGGCGCGAAATTTGAGAACCTTGACCAATCAGCAGGACTTTGCCATTATAAATACAAGCAAAGACAAGTACCTCTCACTGTTTTTGTTGCCATGGCTCGCACTAAGCAGACAGCGCGCAAGTCCACCGGCGGCAAGGCCCCGCGCAAGCAGCTGGCCACCAAGGCCGCCCGCAAGAGCGCGCCGGCCACCGGCGGCGTGAAGAAGCCGCACCGCTACCGGCCGGGCACCGTGGCGCTGCGCGAGATCCGGCGCTACCAGAAGTCCACCGAGCTGCTGATCCGCAAGCTGCCGTTCCAACGGCTGGTGCGCGAGATCGCGCAGGACTTCAAGACCGACCTGCGCTTCCAGAGCTCGGCCGTCATGGCGCTGCAGGAGGCTTCCGAGGCCTACCTGGTGGGGCTGTTCGAGGACACCAACCTGTGCGCCATCCACGCCAAACGGGTCACCATCATGCCTAAGGACATCCAGCTGGCGCGCCGCATCCGCGGGGAGAGGGCTTAGATGAGTACACCAATTGACCATGAACCCAAAGGCTCTTTTCAGAGCCACCTACAATTTTCTTTAAAGGTGCTGTTCTGACTTTATCTCTAGCAACCTTGTGTGGGAATGTTCGCCGGCTGTAGGCACATTTTACATTGCCTGTGAGCATGCTTGCCTGGTTTGGGCCGTCGTGACGGGGCTTTCTAATGTCTAGGTGTCCCCTAAGCATGAAATATGAGATAATGCAGTGAACACTGCTAATCTGATTTTAGGGCTCCTCTGCGGTGCTTAGTAATAAGGAGGTACCTAAAATGGTGTGTGTGCTGTGTGCTTTCGGTTTGTACAGATTACCCGTGCTCTCGCAGAAGCGTTTGTAGTATGGTCTGACACGGGCTACAATATTGAAGTATTTCATTACCCACTAATCTGATAGGCGCTTTTCTGAGGCTTGTCGAAAAATTCTATTTGGTTACAAATATCTTTGTCCACGTTCTGTTCCGCGCTTCCGATGTTTTGTGCGAACATAATCCTTAAAAATAGTGAATTTTAACGTTATTTTGCTCACTGTTCTTTTAAATTAAAAGATTTTAAACTCGAAATAAGAGCAGCTGCTTATCAATTCCAAGCTAAACCTGGTTTTTACACACCTATATTGCAATGAGAAGGTACGGTTTTTATTGGCATTTGGCCAAGCTAAGCAGCATCAAGGACCCATATATATGCGGATGAAAATAATAAAAGCATAACCACTTAGCAATCAGCACAATTTCTTCTGTGTACAAACTATCACTTTTGTTTAGAAGCTTTAAAAGCTCTCGTGATCTGCCTATCACAATATTTTAGGCGCCACAACCATCAATGGAAGGGCGGGACCCAACGAACTTTCCCGCCTTTTCCTGTGTCAGTCTTCAAATAGGTCCGATACTTTGTTTTATGAGCAGATGCAACTCGTTCAGACTAGCAAGTCTAACGTGAGCTGCTAGTGAAAAGCGGTCTTGAGTAGCTCACTATGTCCGGACGCGGTAAGGGAGGCAAAGGCCTTGGCAAGGGCGGCGCCAAGCGGCACCGCAAGGTGCTGCGCGACAACATCCAGGGCATTACCAAGCCCGCCATCCGCCGCCTGGCCCGGCGTGGCGGCGTCAAGCGCATCTCCGGACTCATCTACGAGGAGACGCGCGGGGTGCTCAAGGTCTTCCTGGAGAACGTCATCCGTGACGCCGTCACCTACACGGAGCACGCCAAGCGCAAGACGGTCACTGCTATGGACGTGGTCTACGCGCTCAAGCGCCAGGGGCGCACGCTGTATGGCTTTGGAGGCTGATGGATTTTAGAACCACCTATATCTAAAGGCCCTTTTTAGGGCCACTCCCTTTTTCTTTGAAGGAGCCGAAACATTTAATGTTTTGAAATTCAGAGTTCCATGGTATTCTGTACCGTCTTGAGTGTTAGTAAACATACACCCAGAACTCTGTGGGAGGGTTTCCGCGTGTCCTTCCTTGCAGTCCTTCCGTGTCTATAATAAAAGTCTCTTAACTGTTTGTGGGGCTGGTGAGATGGCTCAGTGGTCTAAAGAACCTACTTGGAACAAGTTCAGCAAAGGGACCACGGTTCGATTCCCCCAGCACCACATGCCAGCCAGCCCCGCCCCCTGGTGGGCTGAGCTGGCCACACACACACACACACACACACACACATAAATAAAATTAAGGAAAAAAAAAAAAAAAAAGAACTGTTTGTGGAAGCCCGTTCAGAGGAGTGTAAATAAGTGGGCCACGCATTGTGGTGAAAGGGCATGGGTTCTTAAATTCGTGGGCTGGCTAAAGTTGATCAAAGTTTAAACAGCTTATTGCTTTTAACTAAATCGTGTTGGAATTGCCAACAGATCAGTTAGATATTTGGTGGTAAAGCTACCTGTGCACTCCTTTTAAACTTTTATCTTGTGTAAAGTATATTTATGGAGGGGTGGTTGCACTTTTGCCACTTACTGAAATAATAGCTTGTGCAAATGTGGTTAATGGATAAAGTCTTGCTGAAATATATACCGTTAATTGCAGAGTCAAATGTTTCTGTATATTCTGGAGACAGCATGTGACTGTGATTCAGGCCCACTTAGCACTTGCAGCCTGGCTTTCCTCTGGTGGGGATCCTCCTGTCTTGTGCATGCTGGAATTACAGGTGTTTCTTCTGTCTGCCTCTTTCAGTGCTGGAATTACAGGTGTGACTCGAATCATTTTTGCAGGAGATGAAGGGGCCCTTGTGTTAGCTATGTCAATATATTTATCATAACAAAAAAATTTGCTCCTGATTTTGTACTTCTGGGTGTATATTTACAATTAAAAACCATTTTGACAGAGCTGTAATTGGAGCTTAATTATACTTCAATTTCTTTTCTGAGTACAAGGATTATAGAGCCAGTTAAAACACCAAGAAAGGTTAAAAAAAAATCCAGAGACTGACTTATATATGATTATCTTTTCAGTGTTTTTTTTTTTGGTGTGTGTGTTCTACTGAGGATTGAACTTAGGTTTTTCGAACTGAGCTACATACCTAGTGTTTTATGCTTTAAAATACAAATGTTAACTCTAGGAATTACTGCATTTTGTCTCTTAGAAAAAAGAAAAACTCACATAAAAGACACTTGTCAGAATTGGAAGGTGGACCAGATGCTAAGCTATCTTAAGGACTTTTAATTTTCATGATTTCATATGGTAAAATTATGAAAATTTCTTCTTATAGAGGTTATATGTTGAAGTATTTCAGAGTTAAGTTTCATGATGAACTATTTGAGATTTCCATGTAGATAAAGAGAAACGCTACTATTGTGTCTAGGAGCTAGATGATCAACAAAATAGACTTTAATCTTTTGTTGAATTTTTTATAATAGTTTATTAAAAAGAAACCTCACAGACGACAGCGTGTATCAGAGAATCAGTAGCATCACGAGAGAGGCCCTTTATATAGGATGATTTCAAAGACCTATATTTCTGCAGAGAGGAGATGGAAGTAACAGGACGCTGCACCCTGGTTCATGTCATACATATGCATATTATTCCACCTGCTCCTTAATCAAAAACTAGTCAGAGTGAAGGATTGTGGGGACAGAATAGTTGAGACAATGTTGGCCAATTTACAAAGGTCAGTAAGTAGTGTAGTGCAGTGTAGAGTGGAAACATTGGGAAGCATGAGTCAGGTGTGGTGTTTGGCTGTGGAAGAAGGACCTCATAAATGGAACAGTTCAGAACATGACGTACTGTGCATGCTAGCAGGGTGTGACATGAGGAAGGAGTGGTACCTTGAATAGTAGCAAAGACAAATGAGTCACAGATTAAGTTATTACCTTTAGTGGGGTAACATACCCCACTCTTCACAGACCCTGAGAAAGAGAGGAGGTAGGGGAAGGAGACCAGCATGTTTTCCTAAGCTAACCCCAAGTAGTTGCCTTCCTCAAATGTTGGAATTGTCAGGGCCAGAAAAAATACTATCTTTTTCACTTTCAGAATCTTACTTTGTTATAGTTTTTTTCCTCTTTTTTGAAACTGAGGATTGAACTCAGGCCTTTACACTTGCTAGGCAAGCACTTGCTCTACTGAGCTATCTCCCCGGTCCCCTAAGTTATTTTTGTATTTTTTAATAGTTTCTTCCCATATAGTTTTCAAGCTCTGTTGGAAATGGAGTTAATTTCATCCACGTGTCATAGATTTAAATGTAATTTTTTAAAAAATTTAGAATTGTAGACACAGACAGCTGTCAAATCCTGAAGCCACACAGGAGAGATGATGTGCTTTATTTAAGACCATCTTTTGATTTAGGACTGAAAGTTTCCATTTTTTTCCTTCTAAATATCTGTTGAACTAGTAACTATCCATTTACTGGCTAATTATGGTTAGCTTCAATCAGACTAGCAATTAAAAAATTGTATTTCTCCAAATCTTATGGTTTTTGTTCTTACCTGCTATGCTAATCTGATACTATCTATTGGTCAAATACATGACCATAATCTAACATTGCTGATAGGAGTGTTTCATAAAAAAGGCAGTTGAAGGCTGGCCAGATAGCTCAGCAGATTACAGCACCTGTTTAGCCAGGGCAGCAACCAGGATTCTATCCCTACCTGTTGTGTTGGCCTCACTCCTGAGAAGACCACTGAGACTGGGCATGGTGGCCAGCGCCTATAATCCCAGAATCTGGGAGGCTGAAAACAAGAAGGTCAGTACGAATCCAATCTGTGTAGTGAGACCCTGTAGATCCTGCACTAAAACCAAAAAAAAAAAAAAAAAAAAAAAAAAAAAAAAAAAAAAAAAAAAAAAAGTCCGGGGGAGTTTGGTCTCTGCTTTCTTTTAGTATTACTTCATCTCTGTTTATGCTCTGTGTGTTACTGTGTGCTAGGTGCTGTGCTAGGTGCTGGTCTTGCAATAACAAACTAGAAAGCGATCAGCCCACAGAGTCATTGTTGAAGTGGAGAGAAAAGAGATGCTTAGAGGTGGTTGTTTCGTAGAAGTTTATTTGTGTAGAGAAAATAAACAACTCGTGAGTGACTGGAGAGTGGGCTGTCCTAGAATAGGGTAGTCAGGGCACAAGGAGTTGGCATTAGATGCAAGATCTGAAGTTTGATATGGACTCAGGGCAAGGGTGTTTTAGGATATAGACCTGTGAAAAGAAAATCTCAGGGTGAGAAAACTGTTTCTGTGCTTTTTAAACATTTTTTTAAACCATCCCACACCCCGTGCTCTTTTTTAGGTTTACAGTCAGTCACTACATTGCCTAGGCTGGGTTTGCTTTTAATGTATTACTCATAGAGATCCTCCTGTTTTCAGCCTCCCAAACGCTGGGATTATAGGAGCGTGCCACCCTCCATGCCTGGTCTCAATTGCTGTCACAGTGTGCCCCGGGGTGGGGCTGGCATGACTGGGCTCAAACCTGGTCCCTGTGTCTACTTAAGCAGGTACTTTAATTCGCTGAGCTATCTGGCCGGCCCTGCCTAGGATGGGCTTGAATTTGTGATCTTCCTGTTTAAATTTTCCACAGTGTTGAGATTATTAGCATGTGCTACCATACACAGCTGTCCAAATTCCTAATTGAATTAAATCTGAAATACCCTGTTACCAGAAGGCAACATTCAAATTCTGCAGTGTAGAACACAGGCATCTTTTTTTTGGGGGGGTAGGGGGTGGGGGGTGGGGGGTAGGGGGGTGAATATGCTCCTTACAGAGCCTGGAGAGACTTTTATTAACACAGCTGTTAAGCAAGTATAAGCCCTTAAAATACACAATCCTCTACCAAAAAATAGTTGCAACATTTGTAAAAGAAGCCTTTAAATGCTTAAATTACAAGATATATTTGAGGATATATTGAAATGGGAAGGGGACTAAGAAATGGAGAGAGGTGGGGAATGGACTCAAAAACAAGGAGTGTTGTGCACAATACCAACTTCCCCAATTATGATGTAATTGTGATGTGCTAATAAAAGATGTGCAAATAAAAATGAAAACATTGAATATATAGCAGTAGCCTTGCAAGGTTATATACATTCACGCTTCTCTGCTCTCTTGTATTCTAAATTCTGATGAGGTCTTTTACATGTTTTATAGGTTATTGAATTTTAGTCTATGTATGAAAGACAGAATTTTAGTACTAAAGCCTTGGTGAGTTTGGTCTATTCCTTAACCTGGGAATTTCACAAGTTTAAAATGCAAATGTGTGGCCTAATATTTTTCAAATTTTTTGTTCTGCAAGTTTCAGGTGAGAGTACAATGAATGTACAAACATTGTAAAGAGTACAGAAGAGGTGCCAAATGCTTTTGTAGGTCCTGAGGATACAGTAAGGAAGGTACTGTATGAGCGAGACATCAAAAATTTTTGAGGAGACAACCATTAAAAATCATCAATTGTTCTAAGTGTTCAAAAGCTTCAGTCAGAAAACCCTGTGCCTACATAACATGGTGGCCTGTGCTTTGTGTAGCATAAGAGGGGACCTTGAGTAGTGACCGTACCTGAGGGAACCACGTAAAGTTCTAAAAGATCTTCCTGCAGACCCTTTCAAAGGATTTAAGGGCTACTTGAGGAAGAAACTGGACTCAAAGGATTACTATTGGAAGTTGCATTTGTGACAAGTTAGTACATTCTACTTGACAATCCACAATTCAGGACAAGGTTGTGGAACCAGGCAGGTGTCAGAGAAGATACAGAATCTGAGGTGCTGTTCTGCAAGTATTGGGACAACCAATGAAGCTTATTTCTGCACTTGGGAGTTTATTTTGGCACACAGAAGAGGACGTCTGTAAATGGCTCACATCTCTGGTGGCAGTGGAAAGAGCAACACGTGGTTAGAATTTAGGTGGTATTTAAGGGTATCTGTGGCTGGTTATAATAAAGCATTGGTAGGGCAACTGTTAAGGGATGAGAAGGCTGATATATTCCCTTCTACTGAGCCTGGATGTCTCATTATTTAACACATTCCAGGTGTAAAGACATACACAGGATCTCTGAAGTTAGTGCCACAATAAATCATTGCAAAAATCGAAGGACTGCAACCCAGAAATGCAAACTTAAAAGTTAGTAAGAGGGCCGGGTAGATGGCTCAGTAGAATAAGTGCTTCCCTGGCAAGCCCAAGGACCTGAGTTCAATCCCCGGTTCCGGAAAAAAAAAAAAAAAGTAATAAAAATAAATTAATAAAAAATAAATAAATAAATTAGAGGATGGGGCCAAGTCAGAAAAAGACCTGCAACTTGAAAATGCTAAAAGGAATAACAGACAAAATCATGTGAAAAATTAAATGCTTGTTGCATTTGATAGTATAGTCACTGGCAATGGCAGCAGGAATATTTTCAGTGAGTCGTTGTTTAAAGTTATATAAGCACAGTGATGCAGAAGCGCAGCAACTGAATTATCTAAGCCTTAAATGTTTGAGAAAATGGGGAGTAAGAGTAATGAGAGGTCTCCATTGAATTGGAACACCTCAGATATATGTACTTACAAGTGGAGCGTGGATGTGGCTAGTTGCATGTGTACGCAACTTAAATGCTCTAAGTGCAAGGGAATTTGCTATTTAGTGACAGGTGTTCCCACTTGTGCTCCAGTCATCTTAATGGCTGCTTCTTCCGTCTGACAAATGCGAAAGGGTTTCATGCCAACCACAAAATGGCGAACGAAGGACCTTCATTATATCAAGTGTTCAGGAAGAAAACCAATTTTTTCCAAATGCACAAGTCCTAACTCTGTCCCGGAAGCACAAACTATCCAACTGCGCGTGTTAAAGGCAGCTGCGGTGAGATCCACCTATGCGTATTAAAACTCCTACCATACGGTTCTTAAAAACGGCTTTAAGTTGTCAAGTATTAGCTCAAACCGTCCTGTTCTGAAAGACTGGTTTTAGACAAACAGCGGAGAGCGAGAGTAAACATTTATGTTTTCTAAGCAGCTTCTACGTCTCCAGGGGCGTGGAGGGCCAGGAAGGCTTTGTTTAGTTTGCACAAAGCGCCATATTCGCTTGGGGACGCAGGAAACGCCTAAGATTTTTCAATACCATTTTTAAACAATCTGCAAACTTCATAGACTTCTACACCTGCGTTTTACCTACATTGCTCTAAATAAAAAATCTGATAGTTATGAGGTTTTAGTACACAAGTGATCTACAGGAATTACCTTCGCAAGGCAGTGCCTCAGCTCTTTACACGATTGAATGGTGGCCCTGAAAAGGGCCTTTGTTGAAATTGATTCCACGGTCCAACTCCAGCTTAACCTCCGAAGCCGTAGAGCGTGCGTCCCTGGCGCTTGAGCGCGTAGACCACGTCCATGGCGGTGACCGTCTTGCGCTTGGCGTGCTCTGTGTAGGTGACGGCGTCGCGGATGACGTTCTCCAGGAAGACCTTGAGCACCCCGCGCGTCTCCTCGTAGATGAGACCGGAAATGCGCTTGACGCCGCCGCGCCGGGCCAGGCGGCGGATGGCGGGCTTGGTGATGCCCTGGATGTTGTCGCGCAGCACCTTGCGGTGCCGCTTGGCGCCGCCCTTGCCGAGACCTTTACCTCCTTTGCCGCGGCCAGACATGATAGCAAGACACAGACTGTTCAACTCCAGTGACTCCCAAGTGCGCAGCAGCTCCTTATATACCCCTCTTGCGGACCTTTTTGGAAACTGCAGCTGCACGGGCGGGAATAAATCTGTGTTCCCGCCTCCCTACCCTAGTGGCTGTACGTGCAGTTGCCTAGAGAAGGGAAAAGGGCGGAGTCGGGAGGGGCGTGTGACTCAAGCTGTCGCTCTTTGTCTTTGTGCTGAGCTCCTGGTTCCTGTCTTCTAGAATGATGCTGATTAGAGTCTAGCAACTAGTGCGCCTAACGCTCCTACTTAGTCTTATAATTTGCAGAGGAAGGCTGTTGCCATTCGTTCGTCTATGAGATGCCCAAACAACGTTAAGTTTTCAGTGAGAATATTCTTTAAATATATGAGGTTGGTCCTGGTGGTTCACTCTTGTAATCTCAGCACTGGGGAAACTGAGGCAAGAGAAGCCCTCCAAATTTTAGGCCAGCCTGGGCTACAGTGTGAGTTCAAAGCAAGCCTGAACTTCATAGGAAGATTTCTTTCAGAAAGAAAAAAAAATGTATACAACAAAATTGTAAGGACTATCCTTAATTTTACAACCTTCTTACCACAAATATTTGTTTTATAAGGGTATGTATACATATTTTTTTCAGTTCTTTTGGTCGAGGTGTATAAAGGGGAGCCCATGTGAAATTTTCCATTTTCTTCACAATTTTAAGCAAACTATCTACCTTCTACATTTGAAGAAAAACCCAGGTCTGAAGATTTAACTCTTAGCAAGTGGTATTGCTGGGCTTGGCTGATGAGCTCTGTGCTGTTGCCACCTATCAATTCTTTATCAGTAGAATGTTAGTAAGTACATCAAGCTGAATAACAGCTTCAAATTCACAGAATTAACCAAAATAGCACTAAAATCATTCTGTGTAATATCTCAGTACAAAAGTAATAATTATTGCTCTGTACTCAAAACATAATTTGATATCCTTAGCCAAATTCCAGCATTTACACATTGAAAACTTTCATATTCAGGCATACTAGAAGTTAAGTGGTTTTTCTGTTGGTGGTTACCTAACAGGGAGTAAAATTATTCATTTCCTGGGTTTAAACCCTGCCTGGCCCTAGTTACCTGCTGGCTTAGAATGCTTGATCTTCCTTTCTACAAAGTGCCCCCCAAACTTCCTTTCTTCATTCCTTCATTTTGCAATTCAGGGTCTACAACAGTCTAGCCAACAATGGTTTGGGAATACCAGGTTTTCAGTGACAATCACATATTGTCTTTCAGAAAAGTTGAAAGGCAGTAGCAAATTAAGGCTAACACCAAGGATCAGGCATGAAGCCAACACACTTCTGCTGCCTGCGGAGGCTATCATAGCTCAACTGCGTTGCAGTTACTGGGAAACTTATTACACGTAGAAGAAAATTTCACAACTCACAGCAAAAAAATGTTTATTACACAATGTCTTTGAATGGGTGGTATACTCATTTCATTTTGAAAAGAAGTTGTGTTGTTCTGTTTATAGTATGCAGTAGCCATCTGTGCTCATTGAAATTTCAGTTATATAAAATTATATATAAATGTGACTTGAAGCCAAAAGTCATTGAAGCACTCAGTAGCCGTATGTGGGTAGTGGTGACCTATTGGACAATTACTGACAGTTCTGTTGTGCTGCTCTGTGATAAAGGATTTCTCTTGAAGAGCTCATCAGGAGTGGGATGGCCACTTGCTACATGCCTGAGAATGAGGACTTTGGACTATTTCTAATATATAACAGAAATTAGGCAACGTCCAGGTCTGGTACACTTGCAAGTGTACGAGAGATATTAAGTGGACACTGTGAGTTTGAATGCTTAAGTCTCCTTTTCAGGACCCAACAGAGATATAATATGTTTGTGCCTATTGTAGGGCCATCTGATAGGATGTTAATGTTTTCCCATTTGATTCTAAAAAAGTTCTGTCTCCTCTATAGTCCTTCTGTTTTATTTGTTCATTGTGGATAATTATCCTGTGGTTATGTTCTTAAATTTTTGAAGTTCTGTGAATGGAAGCAGGGATTGAACTCAGGCCCTTGAGCTTGCCAGGCAAGTGCTTATTCTACAGAGCTATCTCCCCTGGCCCCTAAAGTTCTGTGAATTTTGGATTGCTTAGATACCAGAATTTTGGAGTGGCCTAGGGAGTGAGACATGTGTCTCATGTTCATGTGTTAGGATGATGAGAGGTTATAGAACATTGACAAAGCTACAATGTATAAAATAGATAAGTACCATATATATATATATATATATATATATATATATATTTTTACATGTAGAAAATAAATGGTTACAAATAATGAAGAAGGTATTCTATTTCAGGATCTGTTCAATTTCAGATATGAAACAAAGAACAGTCCTTTCTTGAGGGCTACACTATGAAATAATAGCTGGGGGTTTTCATCACCTATAATTCAGCCTCGTATGGGTAACTTTGTCCTGAAAGAATATAAACATGGAGTTCTGAAACAGTAAAATTGTAACTGCATATAGCACATACTTTGGTTTTAAAGATATGGAAATGAATTTTTCTGGAGAATTTGAGACTCCATTATTGGCCTATATGTAAGGCAGAGATTTTTTATACCAAACTGGTGAAATCACTCTTAACTTCAATTCCTTGTCATTTATTGGAAATTTTGTTAGGGAGACCATTCAAAGCTATAGAGAAATGAAATAGGCCATGCACATTGAATGGGTGTACCTTTACCGCTGAACAATTGCAACCATTTTTGAACTACCTCTAATACCTCTGAAATAATGGACAAATTTTTTAAACTTTAAAAACCCTATTATTTGCATTTGTAGGGTCACATAACATAAAGCTATGTCCTCCGAAGGAAAAAGTCCCATGTAATGCTTGTCACCATGTGCTGACCTTTTTTCAGACAACTACAAAATGTTTCCTAGAGAAATTTCTGAGTGCTATTGATTCAGTTGCATTAACTTGTGTTATAAACAGTATTTGTATTTTTATATTGCATGACTGTCTCTTAGATCTCAAAAACTTTATTTCAGTGTATACTACCTAGAGATCATGAGTCAATAAAATTATTTTCATGGAATCATATGAGTCTGAACACATAAAATGTTTAATGTTTACTATCTTTTTGTGTTTAGATGCTAAACATTCACATCTTAATTGAACATAGGTCAGAAAGATTAGATTTTTGGAAAGAGAAGTGTCTATCAGATAAATATAATACTGAATAACTTTTCTTTTTTCATTTTTAAACAAAGATTCATTTTAATAGCTAACTATACAGTACAGAATTTTAGTTTTTCTGTTTATTTACTCAATAATAACTTACTTCTACCAGCTTTATTTTATTGCAAACTAACATACAGTTATCAAAGCGTTCATGTTTTCTCAGCTTTTTAGGTGGGCACGGACAACCCAGGTAGCAACACCTTAGTTTACATTTCAAACTTTAAAAGCATGGAAACATTATGATCTGTTACATTTTTCTGTTTCTATCTAAACCATCTGTATTACTATTTGCAATTTGAATTATCATTTTGAGTATTAATATGTTATTAAGTGGGGCAGTCTGCTGACGATCTATAAGTCATGAAATAATTTACAATGTAAAAAAAATGTGCCCCGATCCAATGAGATATCCTAATGTTCCAGGTCAAACCTGGTAGAAGAAAGTGGTCTTGACATTTTTAAGACGTTAGTATTATTTTTTTCATCATTATTTTCTTTGCAGATTGTATTATTGATCTGCAATGCTCATTCTAAGTCAGGAAATCATATTTAGAAGCAGAATGGAAGCGCCACACCCTCATCTTTCTGAAAATATTAAAATGATTAAAGCAAGGGGATCAATGCTATCTTACACACTGGCAGAACAAATACTTCTTAAAAATTCATTTTTCTTTCAATAATAAGCCCACTTGGAAGCAGAACTTTGCATCCCAATGCCAATTCCAACAGCTCAGTGCAAACAGCTCGGGGGAGAGCTTGTGCTATTGCTTCCGCGAAAAAACCGAATTTCCCTATATATTTCAGTGTAAACGAATTTATTTATGTGCTCTTGAGAAGATAAGAATGTGCAGAAGAATGCTCCGAAAGAAAGGTTTGCCAACGAAGCCGAGAGAAATAGTATTTTTAAGGAAAACCTGAAAGTTGTCTCAATTTGACCGAAGTTTAGAAGAGAGTTGGGGGAATCACGGAAGTTTCAGGAAGCCAGTTTTGAAAGTAGGTTTAGAAAACAAGGCATGAATGAAGCCTAAAGCTTTTCGGATCAGTTTCCCCCAAATCTCTACTTATTTCGTGGCCGGGTTTCTTTTATTTTTACTCTTTTTTAAGGGGCAACAAACACAGCCACAGCGAAGAGCAGAGGATCTCTTCTCCAGAGGCGCGGCGCTCCGAGCAGGGAACCAATCACCACGCAGCGTCTCTCTATATAAACCCCTAGGCTTCAGCGTCGGGGACACGCCGTTCTGACAGTTTTGAGTCTACTTTTACCTTTACTGGTGAGAGAGAAACATGTCGGAGACTGCTCCAGCTGCTCCTACTACCCCCGCACCTGCGGAAAAAGCACCCGTGAAGAAGAAAGCAAAGAAAACGGGTGCTGCTGCAGGAAAGCGCAAGGCGACCGGGCCCCCGGTGTCCGAGCTCATCACCAAGGCTGTGGCCGCCTCCAAAGAGCGCAGCGGGGTGTCGCTAGCCGCCCTCAAGAAGGCGCTGGCGGCCGCCGGCTACGACGTGGAGAAGAACAACAGCCGCATCAAGCTGGGGCTGAAGAGTCTGGTGAGCAAGGGCACCCTGGTGCAGACCAAGGGCACCGGCGCCTCCGGCTCGTTCAAGCTCAACAAGAAGGCGGCTTCCGGGGAGGCCAAGCCCAAGGCCAAGAAGGCGGGCGCGGCCAAGCCTAAGAAGCCCGCGGGGGCAACCAAGAAGCCTAAGAAGGCTGCGGGGGCCGCCGCGCCCAAGAAGAGCGCCAAGAAGACCCCCAAGAAGGCCAAGAAGCCCGCCGCGGCTGCTGGCGCCAAGAAGGTGGCCAAGAGTCCCAAGAAGGTGAAAGCTGCCAAGCCCAAGAAGGCTGCCAAGAGCCCAGCCAAGGCCAAGGCCCCTAAGCCGAAGGCCTCCAAGCCTAAGGCTGCCAAGCCTAAGGTTACGAAGGCCAAGAAAGCGGCCCCCAAGAAGAAGTGAAAGTGCCAACGGGTCTTCTCACCTACACATCTCAACGGCTCTTTTCAGAGCCACCCAAATTATCATTTGAAAGGGCTGAACGCTTCAGTTTTTGTAAATTTCCGCCTTGTGGAATAATTGGCTAACTTGTTCGCCATTGCGCAGGGCGCGTGCGCACATTAGTAGCCTCTACGTAATCGATGCGGTTGTGGCTGCTAGGTGTGCAGTGTTGCTCTAACCTTCTGTGGGTACTTGTTTTCGCGGAAAGTAAGCCAGATGATCTGATTGCCCAAGGCAGGCGGGTAGTGTGGTCGGGGGAGGGCCTAGCCCGCAGCGTGGTGCGCATCCATCGTGCTCCACCTTATCGTCTGGAATGTACGCGGTGCGCCAGAACTGTTACGAGTGGTTAAACTTGCTAAGAGACTGCACGGAGTGCCGCGGTGCGTACTTGGGAATGATTAGGCCTGGGTAGTTTTTGTTTTCCGCGCGTAGGCATTTTCAGTGAAATTGGAGCCAATCGGGGGGAGGTTTGATAGCTTCGCACTGCTGTCTAAAGTATGTTCTCATTGGTCCGTATGGTCCTTGACTTGGCCAATGAGAATGTATTTGGGTTTATGGCGCAATGGCGCTGCCTCAAAATGTTGCATCAGTTAATTTAAGATTGCATGAGTGTCCTGGGAAGTGGCCAGTGAAATTGGAACTCCCGAACGTTTATCTTTTCGTATATCGGGAAGCACAGGAGGCCTGCACGAGTTTTCCTTTTTTCTTCCTGGCAGTTTTTTATTTTTATTTTTGAATACTTGGTGCTGGTCTGTAATCTGCATAATTATCACTGCCACCCTGATGCTAAAGTATGGTAAGAAACAAGGTTTCTGCAATTTTGCATTTTTTTTGTGCCACATAGCTTCCTCATCAGCTATTGGCACCCAGGAAGCCATGGCTAGCTGTTTCCCCCGTACCTGTGATATAGGGGAAAAAATGATGTAGGAGTATGACCTCCAAATGCTATAAGGGGGGGAAAAAAAAATGAAACTCCCGACCTGAAAGATACCTTGGACGAGTTCCTGTTCTCTAAAACCGAAGAATGAGTTTTAGGAACAAACAGGTTTTGAGCAGAATATATTCTTAGGGAGGGAAGAAAGCTTCTGTCTGAGAGGAAGAGAAGGGGGCCCGAGTGTGTTGTCCCCGGGAAGCTGTGTGTGTCTTCCAGGGGTTTTTTATATAGTATATCATGCGGTAAGGTGGGTCTCTGGTGGGGAACATGGGAGCTCGCTTAGGTGGGCATGAGGTGGGACAAAACTATGGTTAACCAGTGAGATTACAAGCACCATTGATCAGGTAAAATTGATTAAATATAGGATCAAATGAGGAAGCGAGTCAAGAAACAAGACAGCAAGAATCCGGGACAGGGCCTCTTCCTGTTGGGGGTTGGGTTAGTGACTGTAGGGCTCTTTCAAGGTGCTTGATACCTAATTTGGAATATTAATCCTTATTGCCCAGCCCTGGGAAGTATGTGGCTGTATTTATTTACTCTTTTGTCTTGAGGTCCATCCCAAAGCTGGAGTGTATGTCTCTTCCAAAGTTGGAAAGTCACCTTGTCTTCCATATTGTCTCCTTGAGGGCCTGGCCCTGTCTGACTGCCTATATTATTTCTATCTAATTCAGATCTCTAAAACATCTGCTTGGTGAGTGGACAATGGGAAACAAGCCTTAGAAAGCTGCACTGTTGCAAGTAAGGGGGTGCATAGCAAAAAAGGGGAAGAACAAGAGTTCACTTGGATCATCAGTCATTCTTTTTCTTTTTCTTTTCTTTTCTTTCTTTCTTTTTTTTTTTTTTTTTTTTGGCGGAACCGGGAATTAAACTCAGGCCCTTGCACTTGCCAGGGAAGCACTTATTTTATTGAGCCATCTTCCTGGGCCCTCAGTTTCATTTTGAGTGTGTTTTACAAATTACTTTTAGTTAAGAAAATATTTTTGTCACTAAAGTTGATAGCGTAGAAGCTACAGATGTCCATTGGCTTCATTGGGAAATTTTTTTTTACAGTGTAAATGCAAAATGTTAGTTTCTAGTTATCTATACCGGTAATTACACGATTTCGAAGTGCCTATAGGTTTGATCAGTAGTAATGATGTTATTTGATCCCTTTTTCAGGTCTCTTCGTGCTTATAGTCTGTGAATGCTTCAAACTGACCTGTGCATTTATTAAGGAAACAAATATATTGTTCATGATTTTTTATATATATATATTTTTGTATTTTTTAAGGAAGGGTCTACCAGGTGGGTGTTAAGGGTCTCACTACTGTTTACAGCCTCTGAAGAGCTGGGCTTACAGGCGCGCGCCACCAAAGCCAGTCTCAATTGCCTTCTCAGCGTGCCCGGGGGTGGGGGTGGGGGGCAGGTCAGGCACAGCAGTCCCAGGGATCCAATCCCTGGCCCCTGTGCCTGCTTGTAGGCGCTTTAATTGGCTGAACTGTTTGGCCAGCCCATCTTCATGAGATTTTTGGATAACTATCATTTTCCCCAAATCCTTACCAACTACTGTTTTCAGATGGTCCATATGTTTCCTCAGAGTTCATATAGAGCCCAGTCCAATGGATGCCCTGAAATCTTGAGCAGAATGCTGAAGATCCCTCCTATTTGAAATGCGTCATCTTTGTTTTCTCTTATTTATTTTTAATAATTTATTAAGTTTAACATCTTATTTAAGCCTTTTTATTAAAAGAAAAAAGTGGAGTTGGGGGGATATCTCAATGGAATAAATACTTGCCTGGCAAGTGCAACGTCCTGAGTTCCATCCCTGGTACTGCAAAAAGAAAGAGGAAAAAAAAAAAAAAAGAAAAGAAAAAGAAAAAAGTGGGAGGAATGTGGCCACGACTATCTTTCCTCTCTGTTCAGCAGGATGGCAAGTGTTTGGGGTCTCTGCCGCATCTCAGAATTTTTTGTTTTTTTAATGAAAGCCAGACAACGTTTTATGAGAGTACCTTGGTTGAGAAGGACAATTGGAATCATGAGAGAATGTGAAATGGTAAAATGAATATACCTATTTTACATAACAGATTTGAATTACCTGACAGGAATCATAGATCAGGGAGGTTTGCAAGCCCAAAGCGTGAAGATTTTACTGAGAGGAGGGGATACCACAGGCAATAAGCGCAATCACAGTGACCATCACATCGCTACTTCAAGGTTTTTAAAGCCTTTCTAGAAATATGTTTTGTGTCTTATTCTACAGCTGTAGCATTAGGTGTAACTGAAGTGATTAATTAATTAATTGATGATTTACTTCTAAATGATGAACTCAGGACCTTGCGTTTGCCAGGCAGGCACTTATTCTGCTGAGCTGTATCTCCTGCTGCAGTAATTTTTTGAAGTTGAGAAAATTTTGACTTTGAAAGACCTCATTACCAGAAATGAGTATTTGCTGCCAGTACATGAAATGGACTTGGGTCTCTAACACAGGCTTCTTGATTCCTTGAGTTTCCTCACATTTTACCCTGTCTCTTATGGAAAAGTGGCTGAATTTACTTCCTTTTTAGGCTCATCAAACCAAAATCAGTGTCCATGTTTGTCCTTTAGCCATTCCGTTCCTGAACCACAAGGAGTGCAGCAGAAGGGAGTCTGGCCTTTCAGGACCTTTCTCTGACTTAAGTCATGTTCAATTCGTATCATTCTTCCTTGCATAAACACTTATTTTCAAGGGAAGGAGAACTTTTATTTTTATTTTTTTGCCAATTTCTTATAAATTTTCAGCAAATACGTTAGGGTTCCAGTGACTGCTGGAGGACAGAGGAACAAAGAATGAAAGATAGCATAAAGGTATGAGGGTCATTTTTATATTTTCTCTTCTGATGGAGGGCATAGGTTATGGGTGTGACATAAAAGTAACTTGCAGAACCAGCTTGCAAAGAAGACTTTGAGCATTCTACGTTCTTGGGAGTTCTAGGGCTGAAGTAGGACTCACCGGCCCCAGCCTATTTGCCAGCAGAGGCACTGTTTTCAGCAAGGAACTCAGTTCATCGCTTAGTCTGCCATCCATAGACACAGGAAAAGTTAGGATAAGAGATGAAAGACAACCAACAGGTCCCTAGACTTTTGGGTACTTCTGGAGCCCCCTGAAGTTTTACACTGAATGCTTCAGGGACTTTGCTCACTGCGATGTAAGACAGCCAGCAAAATTTGACCACAGATATTTCTTAAAATTTTACCATGTAATTTCTCTTGCCTTCTTTCAATCTTTATGAAAGGGACTGTTATAGTTTGTATGTATTCGTCTCCCTAAAGCCTCATGCAGTCATTGAGGCGCAGTTTCACAGTTTGTGTTTAATTCATGATCCAAGGCTGGGATTTTGGGTCTGAGAACTGCTGGGATTATGGGTCTGAGTACTGCTAGAATTATGTGTCTGAGTGCTGCTGGGATTATGGGGGTAAGTGTTACACCCAGCCTGGTGCAGATGGCCTGAATGTAACATAAGAGACAGAGAGAGAGAGACAGACTCTTTTTTGTTGCTGTTGGTGCTACTCCTCCCTTTTGCTCTTGCTGTTTTGCTGCTTTCTGCCACCATAAACTGCTGCCCTCTACCATGTGATAGTCTGCCTTGGAGCCAGCTGAGTATAGACTGAACCTCCAGTAACTGTGAGCTAAGTAAACCTTTCCTTCCTTCATTTTGAATGTTGGGCATTTGTCCCAGCAACAAGAGAAGAGTAACTGAGTAACTGAGACAGGGACACACTTGTCTTTGTTCCCTGCAGATGACCTTTTCGCTTGTGCCTGCCTGCACCCGGGCACAATAAATTCCATGCCATGTTGCCTTTACCCAAACCTGGTGGGTTTAGCTGGTCTCTGCCCCTTGTACCGTTCATTACAGTAATTACCTGACTTTTAAGTGGTGGAGGCTTTGTTACTGTGTGGAGTAACAAACATTTTCTTTTTTGCAAGATAAGGGTACTGGCCACTTATTTTTTCTGTCATTTAATGAAAAACTCAGGTTCTTCTTTTTCTTTTTCTTTTCTTTTTTTTTTTTTTTTTGAGGCATAG